GAAGTAAAAATAAAAAATAGTAGTGGCAGGGCCTGATCCTCCACTGCCTTGAACTTCATGTAGTTATTTTACACCAGTGCAAAGTGGGTGCAAAGAATTATCAAATCAGATTTCTCCATACATCTACTGGCAGCATCTTATAATCAAATTGCATAGCTACAAAAACTATGTAAGATGCAAGTCAGCAAACAATAAAGTCCACAACATTTGGGCAATCTAAAAGGACAGAGCAATATGGTAAACTGCATTGCTGGATGTGCTTTGACAATTAAGTATGTTTAATAACAGAACTGTATCGACAAATACAAAGACAAGTACGTGAACAAAAAAAACGCATTAACTTCAGCTCCTGCAGAAATTATTGTTCATGGAAAGTTTAATGTTCATGAAGTGAGATAAAATTGGGAGGTAAGGCTTGATTCTGTTCTCATTTACATTGATTTCACACCGATGTAACACTATTGACATCAATAGGGTTTCTTTTGCTTTACTCTAGTGTTTTCGGTTTTTAATAGTTCTCAGTCATTAAAATAGTATTTTAAATAATGGAGATTTAAATAATGAAAGTAAATTAAACAGATGGTATTTTTTTTAACTTTGATAACAGAGCAAGTAACTTCTCTCATTTTCTCAAAAAATAATTGAGCATTAGAACCTCCTAACAATTCTGACTGGGTACATTACAAGTCTTATGAGACCTCAGATATAATAATATGCTCCAACTGCATCTCAGTATATCTATTTAATCAGTTTCTGTGTACAGGCAGTCCCCGAGTTACGTGGATCCGACTTATGTCGGATCCCTACATATGAACGGGGCTTTTCTCGCCGCGGAGGACGCGGGCGGCAGGACCGCCCAGATGTGCTGTGGTCCCGCCGCCCGTGTCCTCTGCAGCGAGAAAAGCCACTCCGTGTCTCCCTGGTCTGCTGGGGGAGGGGCACCCAGCAGCCCAGGGAGACGCTGCTGGGGGGAAGCAGCTAGTGCGGGGTTGCCTCACCCCGTTT